TCATGCTTTAAACCGCTCGCCTCATAAGCACCAGCAGCTCTTAATGATACCAGCACACAAACGAAAATTTGAAGCAGACCGTGCAGCGGAAGCAAATACGGCTGTTGCATACGGTGCAAAATCATAGTGTTACTATGACGCACCATTAACACAAGCACGAACTGTCAACATGTCTGTGCAGCACATCAGAAGCAGCACAAAAGACTCGTCAGACGCTGTAGCATTATGATGGTGCAGCGAAGTGTGGTATGTGCAAAACGCATCATATGTACCACCGAAAACAGCTGCTGCTGAGCTGCTATTCTGCTCATATGCAGCATTAACTCAAGACGATATTGCTGCTGTGCTGCCATACTCCACGCTGGCCACCTCGCAAAGCAACGTGAGCACTGGCAGCAGTCCTCGCATGAGCGCGCTGGCCTCCAATCCGCTTCTGGCTGACGGGGACGCACGCGCGGTCATTCTCATTCCAAGCCAATCGACCTGCAGATTTCCAGGCCAAACGGGTGGCTCTGCACCTACCGTTAGCAGCTGCGCATAGTGCCGCTTCCCCCCTACTGCGCATAGGCAGATCCGTAAGCGTCATCGTCACTCGATGAATCCCCAGCCCCGTGAGCAGTTGCACCACTGCCTAGAGTACCCTCGGCATCAGCTCCTTCGCGTGTAAGCGATGGCGTGGTGAAGGACCCATCTCCGGTAATCGACGCAATAGCTCTGCTGGCTTGCGAAGGAGTCGACGAAACAAGTGAGAACCCCTCCTCTGCAGGGCCTGCAACACCGCCACTGTCACATAGAGTGGGCGACGAAGCAGTTGAGGGTCCCGCCACAACAAGTGCTTCATCGGGAAGGGCGGTACAATGCACCGGCCACTTGCAGATTGGACAGGTGTCGCTCAACTCGAGCCATGTGTCTACGCACTCCACATGGAAAAAGTGAAGGCAAGGAAGGAAGCGAACCATTTGGTCCTCAATGAACAATTCCAGACATATTGCACATTTGTCCCTATCCCCAACCTCTCCAGTACCTCCGTTGCTGCTGTTGCTGCTATTGGTGGTACTGCTGACGCCTCCGCTCATGCTGCTGCTTCGACGTTTGCTGGCACCGCCGCTGCTGCGTTCGGTGGCGCTGCGTCCGCTGCTGCTGGTGGTGCGGTTTCTGCTGGTGCTGGAGGAAGTGCCCATGCTGCTACAGGCAGGAGCCCGGCGTCTGAAGGGGAGAATGGGAAGCTGCTCCAGTACGTCCGGTGGAGTTCCCCGTTGCTGGGCCAGTTGAAAACTTGGACCGTCTCCAAAGAGCTGCTGATGGCGTTGAAGGGCGCGGAGCACATCTTCGATGGCACTGTTGGCTTCGGCAACTGCTGCATCAGCCTGTATCATAGTGGTGTGAGGCTGGGGAAGCTGGTGCAAAGGCAGCGGTACCAACCTCGTCTGCCGGCGTGATGTCACTTCGTTGGCCGCAGCATCAGCGGAGACATTAGCGCCTGCATTCGGGGGAGGCCTCAATATTGGTGGTATTCGAGTTTGCTGGTCCAACAGCTGCTGTTCGGCGAGAAGCTGCTGCAGCTGGCGCTCGTGTTGCAAAAGCTGCGGAAGCCCTAGAGGCTCCAAGCCTGGAGGAACCGGAATATACTGCAACATGTCAAACGCCTGCGGCAAGAAGGGCTGCATCGTTGTCATAGGCAGTATTCTTTCCAATGCGACAAGTGCTGCACGTGCTGCAGCTGACAATGCATCGTCATTAATCCGCGACGGAACAACACGAGTTCCACGTGTTGGGGAACTCTCCCGGGCGGCGAGAGGGCCTCCCGCTGAATGAACCAGCGATGTCCCAACGGGACATACCGCAGTTGCTGCTGACCTATCCAGAGGAGTAAGGCGCGTCCCCATTGCCGCTAAGCCATTAGCAGCTCGCACCGCATGTGATGCCGCACTACCTCGAGAAACCGCAATTGTCCCATGTGCTCCCACCTGCCCTCCAGAGGCAGCAAGTATTTCCGTTACTGCTGTGCTACCTCGGGGTACAGTGCCAACATATGTCATTGTATGGGTTGGCGGCGTGTCTCTAGCAGCGGAGACAGATGACGTGGCCGGAAGCGGTCTGCGCAGCAAGCTGCTTCCAGCCACTTCAAATCCATCTCCATCCTGTTCTCCCCAGTAAGTCACTACTCCGCTCCGCAAAACGCCCCACCCCTGTCGCCAAAGGTGCTGTTGCTGTGGAGAATGTTGATTGTTTCCCTGTTGCACCTGAGGCTGCGCTGGGCACCGAAGCTGTTGCTGACCGTTACGATTCTCACTGACTCCCCAAAACGGCGGAAGGCTTGATGCGCAGAGTTCCATACCGACATCGCCAGGACAGCTGCCAATATTCACCATTCCTGCAGCAGGGTCTGCTGTTTCCGTCGGCAAACCACCATCCGTTCCTAAATCGGAATGAGCGGCCGACAATGTGTAACTCATTCCAGCGTCACATGACGTCTCGCGGAGCGGAAACAGCAACGCACGAGGGTCCTCTCTCTGCGGAGGATTTCCTCGAATGGAACAGTCACAAGGACGCGACCCGTGGCCGCTGCAGCCGTAGACGTCGCAGCCATTGCCGTTGCAGCCATTGCTATTGCTGTTGTTCCAGTTGTTGCCTGTGCTGCTGCCTGTGCTGCTGCCTGTGCTGCTGCCTGTGCTGCTGCCTGTGCTGCTGCCTGTGCTGCTGTGCCTGCTGCCGGCTCTCCTGCTGCTAGTGATGCTACCGTTGTCCCAATGACTGGTACTCACTGCAGATGTGTACTCCCCCATGCCGGTTGGTGCTGCCTCCCCAACTGCAACTGCTGGAGCAACGCACCTCCGAACGAAGCTGCTCTCGTCGTCGTCATCACTGTCAAGCTCAATCACCTCCCTGACACTGCTGCCATGACTCCTGCAGCTGTCACAGTCACTGAGGCTTCCGCTGTCGTTGCTGTGCACATCGCTGTCGCTATCTAGGGCTGGGCTAAGCGGGAAGTTCCGCCCTTCCAGTGGCATGCGATTGCCATCGTCGCCGCTTTCACTATCACTCCTACTGCTGCTGCTGCTGCTGCTGTTGTTGCAGCTAGGACAGCCGTATCTGTTCCGTCGTGGCCTGAGCCCCATGCGTCCGTACCACGGGCTCCCGCTCCCTGTAATGCCGTTAATTAGGCTAAGGCCATCATTCGCCTCCTGTCCGCCCTCGAAGGCTGATTGCTGGGGTCCAAAAGCACAGAAACGTTTACTGCGTGGGGGGGAGCTGTCTCCTGCCGTGCTGGCTGCGCTGCTGCAGTTTTCAAGCTCCTGCTGCTGAATAGGCGACCTGAGAGCAAGCCAACGGTCTGTACACCTCTCAGTGCTGGTGCTGCTCCCGTCTCGGCTGCTGCCGGCAACACAGCCGCAAACCAATTCAGTCGGCGTCGTCTCCGGGGGCGCGGACCCTATCATATCGGCTGCTGGACTCTGGGACATCGACGAAGGTGCAAATGTTCCTGCGGTTGCGTTCGTCACTACAGCAGTGATTGCTGCTGTCCCTGCGGCTGGTGCTAAACCTGTAATCGTCCCCGTGTACGTGAGTGTTGTCTCAGCGCCGTTCACCGTTGCACCTGTGGCTGCTTGTTCAGTGGGTGCTGCTTCCGTGCGTGCTGCTGCTGCTGCTGCATCCCCCCTAAATTCGGTCTCAGCACCACTGCCGGCTCCTCCTGGCCCTCCTCTATACTCGCAATCCACGTCATTGCCCTCCTCTTTTCCATGCTCCCACTCCTCCGCCTCTCCGTCCACCACGTTGTCGTCCTCAACTTGGTCTTCCTCTTGCTTCACTCCTTCCCCTTCTTCCCCTTGCTCGCCCTCGGCGTCGCAGGGCGCTTCATTCACAGCCAAAAAACTGAAGCGCCAACGGCCAAGCAAACGACTCGGAGATGCTGCTGCTGCTGCTGACGAAAGACCCAAGCAAAGAGCCCCACGCCCTTCTCCTGAGAAATACCACGTCTCGTCCGAAGCTGCCACACCTTCCTGCTGCCGCTGCGGAGGCGACTGTTCCCTAGAATGCCCCCTCCACCTGGGGCTATGCTGAACCAGCAATTGCCGAGGCGGCCGTTGCATACGCTGCTGTTGCAACAACAATTGCTCCCGCTGTTCCTGCTGCTCCCACTGCCGCAACAGCTGCTGCAGTTGCTGGAGTTGCCGTTGCTGGAGCTGTGCATGCTGGCGTTGCACCTGCTGGCGTTGCACGTGCTGGCGCTGCACTTGCTGGCGCTGCACTTCCTGGAGTTGGAGCTCGCGTTGCACCTGTTGCCGTTGCAAATACAACCGTCGTACCTGACGCTGTTGCAGGTGTTCCCCAAACAGCTGTTGCTGTTCCGCATGCTGCTGTTCCAGCTGTAGCCGTTGCTGTGGTTGCTGTTCTAGCAGCCGTTGCAGCTGCTGTTCATCAAGAGTACCTGTGGCCCTTCCCCTTCCAACACCTCGAAAACGTGCTGCAGATGCCTTCATATTCGGCTACAAGCTCCTTCGTCTTCGTTACTGCCTTCACTGTTGCTTGTGCTGTGGCCTTCAGTGGTGCTCGTTTCGCTACTCTTTCCACAGTTCACGTTGAACCATGTTTTATGTACAGAGACTGAATGAAGCAGAACACTGCTCCCTGATGCCCAAAGTCTTCTCTTGCACACGCCTCGTCTCCACACAAACAAAAATGCTCACACCGACGCGCCCAACTCCAACTGCTGCACCGTCACTGGTTGCAGCACCAGTCCACCTGGGCAGCCGAAGCTTTTATGCGCCGAGGCGGGGAGGTGAGCAGTACAAGATCGAATTAACAGGTAAATCCGAAGATGCAACGGCCTCCGGAGAGTGGGATAATACGCCCAACACCTTTCAACTCAGATCCAGGAACCCGTTCCGAGAGACTCTCCTAGGACAACGCCCCGGCAACGCCAACGATCCTTGCCTCTAAAGGAAAAGAGAGATGGATCAAAGGAGAAAATCGATGACGCTGCCTAACCTAGACAACCCCGCCCTAAAAGACCGCTGTTCTCCGACGATGATACGGAAACTACCCACGGCCCCCCAATAACGTGCGGCTAAACGCCCCCTGGAGGCTGGACCACGCAGGCGAGCAGAAGGTGCTCACCAAGAGGGAGGCGAAAATTACACAAAAAGACCATGCAATGACGTTACAGGACAATAGGTCCTCCGTGGCGTACCCTTCGCTCAAAAGTCAACTACACATGGTCAGTACGATGCCACACTTTGCCAATCCAAATCATTACGTGTAAATAATAGCTCTTCCTGACACGCCACACTGAATCCAACTAGTCCCTGGCTCTGCTCGACCAACTGTAGCAATAACAGACCGTTGGTACTACGCAATACGAACGGGAAGGAAGTTAGCAGGGCAATAACGAGTCACCAGTTCAAACCAGAGTAGATAATTCGGTCCCCTGAAAGTAAGGCAGTAGACACTTCTCCTTAAGCACGGAAACGTATCGACGGATACACCCCTGCGAGCACGCCCCCTCAACAACCAGTAATGCGGAAAACAGAGCGATGGAAAGCAAGACCAAAGTGGAAGGTGGTGGTGTGCCCTATGGAAACCTTCTTAAAACAAGATAAAGCAATAAAATGTCGTCCCCCAACACCAAAAATCGCAACCTATGCCAAGCACACTCCTGCTTCTGCCCCCCAAACCACACGCCGCTTTGGTGCAGGGAGTTGTCCAGCGAGGAATAACAGCTCAGCAATGCATGAAGTGGGAACAAGGCAAAGCGAACTTACAATGGAGTTGAAAAGTAAAAGCTCCCGCGGTTTATCGTAGGTGTGGTGCATAATGCTCAGGATTTAGTGATGTGTAAGCTGCCCGCAGAGGCGGGTGAGGAGGAGGCCAACACTGCACGTGGGGGCTCGTCTCAATGCACGAGGGCGCATTCCCCCGCCCCATAAATTACTGTTTCATTGCTAGGTTTTACGTATAAATCTATTTTTGTACTTGAACACTGATTCTGGCTGTAATTGTCGAGGCAAAAACTTGGCCGAATTTGACCGGAAGTATCAGGTTATCCGGGGTCTCGGTTGGCGCTTTTCGTCTTTCTGCTTGGTAGAACCCAGTGCTTTGCCAGCTTTTATGATGTACTCTGGAAACGATAGTTGCTTTACATATCGAAATATGTAGCATTCCACACCCCCTCTTGATCCCCACAGCTCGAACCTGCCTGGCAGTGGCGACTGGCAGTGAAGATTCGATGCTGCATATCGAGATTGGTCCCTCCCAATCTATCTATTTATCTTTGTATCAGCACGTAGCATTCTGTTCTGCCCACCACACGAGGACCTCAGCCAGGTGATACGGAAACACTGACAGCATACCGGTAGCGCAATTCGAGGTGCGAGACTGCGCAAACTCCCGAGTCGCAATTCAACAACAGTTACTCACAGTGACACTTTTGTGCACGTCTGCACATTAGAACTGCGTCTGGTCCAACCTGGCAGGTGCACCTCAGGTCTTCGATGGAAGGTGGTTTGGTATGGTATTATACAATCTGTGCTTTTGGCACAGAATAATGCTCGTACGATCAGAGGGCTCGGGTTATTCATTGAGTTTGTGGAGAGTGTCGTCGTTCTCAGCCAACCACCATCGGGAGCTGCAGTAGGGCAGGAGCACTTAACCTAGGTTGTTTATAGGGAGCTCACCCTCCTGTTTTTCCAGGCCATTTGAAAACACCACCTACACGGCTCTTAGGCCGGCGGAATTGGGTCGGACCTGCTTCAGTTGTAATGCACCTTGCTCCAGTTTACGATTCAGGAGAGCTCCAAAAGGTGGACACCGGTATTCTCGTGAAGTCCGCATACTTCCAGTATACTCTGCGAAATATTGGCAAGCCTGTCTGTTGCTGACACGTAAACGCTCATTCAGCCTTGCCAAGGGAACCGTAATCACGAGAAAACGCTCACCAATTGTTTACAGTGGACGCTTCTACAGGCAAGAAGGCTATCCTGTACAATATGTGTGCTTGCTACTACAGCATACTAGTTCTTCGCTGCAGTCATCACTTCAGCTGCAAGCATGCAGTTTTGCTACATGCATGTTTGGTAGCTCCGCTTCTGTATTGTCGGGGCAAAGCAAAGATGCGACGACGACCTGTCCCGAAGTTTGCTAAATGGTATAGTTTAGGCATAATGTAACGGAGTGGAATGCGCAGACATTGAGGACATCAACAGCTAATCAAATACATGATGCCGCGAAGTAACAACTCCGATGCTCACTTGGGGGCATGTGGAACTTGCCTAGAGTGGAGCAGGTACTGGACCGGGCTGTTGTGAAGATATAGGACCCACGAGGCTGTGGAAGTAGTGTTGGCTGCAAGCCCCCATGCCTATATAGAGCAGCAGCGTTCCGAGTGCAACTGCAGAGCTCTAGCTATTAGGCAATGTTTCCGACGGCCCCTAGTTCGGATACTTGTTCCTTAGCTGTTACGTTGCCCAGATAGAGCTTTTCGTGAGTTTAATTCTGCAACTTTGGGTGGGGAGACGGGGGTTCCTTAACAGATAGATACAGTCTGCAATGCCAATCTACAGAGGTGCCCATACAGGATGGCAAAAAAAAAAACTGAAGCCGTGTGTTTCCGCATGTGCCCCTTTATAACCTAATTTACTCGACAGCTAGGGCAGCTTCCATCATCGGCAACACCACTATTGTAAGATGAGTTCGGCACCATGCTGCTCAACAACTTCCACATATTCGAAGGGAAAAGGGTTTCAACGGAACTCCCTCAGAACGCTTCTACCCAGGTACAGCCCTACAAGCCCCGATACATGGACACCAAGCACCAAGTTCTCTAGACGTTGGAGACTGTGGGGAGTAGCGCGAACAAGAAGCGCGAGGAGCAACAGAAGTTTCTGGGGCACAGTGCGTCTGAGAAGAACAAGAAAATTTTAGGAGCACTGCAACCACCTTCAGGAGCGAAACAATCGGGCAGAGGAGATTATGATTTACAGGAAGGGGGACAGATGTACCCGCCCGCCAGCAAACGTGTCAAACGGTGCTCCACAATGTTGGTCTGTGCACCAGAGAATATATGATTGTGCCCGGATATACGGGTGTCTTGCAGAGAGGTGCGTTGCATCTTATGCCATGCCGCTTGCGTTGCATCTTATGCCATGCCGCTTGCGTTGCATCTTATGGCATGCCGCTTGCGTTGCATCTTATGCCATGCCGCTTTCTCTGCTGTTGTTCGAAGCGCTTGGCCCAGCCTGCAAGCAAAGCAAGGATACTGGAGAGGATAGCACGCCGTTTTCAAGCAAGTCTCACATCAAGACCATTGGCTCCAGTGCAGCTCGCAACGGTCTTTGGGTTAGCCAGAAGACGAGCAGTCTTGCCAGTGGGCGTGCCCTGCTTTGGTTACAGGAGAGCTTTGCAGCTTGAGGACTCCAGTGCCGAAGTTTTAGACAGTCACCTCGCCACCATCCTCAGGATCTTAAACCACTTCCAAAGGCACCTGGAGACTCGGCTGTGTCAGAGAAGATAGGAGTTAGTAATATACACAATCTAAGACACACCCGAGATTGTGTATTTCACTAACTCCTATCTTCTCTATTTCGTCTCCGCGGCAGCTGACACTGATCTTGGGGTGCCCAGTACCAGTAACACACTATCTGTTACACTACAGTACTGTAACACTGAATACAGGATAGTACCATGAACAAGCACAACGAAGCCTTCATGCAGCAAACCTTAGAAATGTAAACAATCTTTTAATACATTTATGGTCCAGCCCGAACCCAAGTAGGGGTACACGCCGCAACTTCCGCTCATGCAATGAAACTGTGGGCGAAGAGAAGGGGGTAATTTTCCAAAGGAATCTTCCTGCTCTTCACGTGCAAGCAAAACCAAGAAACCCTTTCAAATGAGTACATTAACACTTCGGATATACTTATTTGTTTCTCAGTAAGTAGCCTGTGCGCTTGTAGTTAGTACATGCAACAACTCTACCCGGACAGTTCTACGGGCGTTGCACCAGAAAGCATCTGCAATGAAGTTAGCCCTTCCATATATATTACACGAGCAAAATCCCTGAATAACGCAACTAGAGGAAATGTGTGTGAAACGACGAAGCTGATCTCCCTATCACCCCTCCTGTTGTTCCTGTGTCAATCCTGTGTTGCAGAACGCTTGGGGGGCGAACCGCGCGAGTGCTTCTTGCGGGCTTCCACGACTTCCGTAGAACTCACCGGAGCAAGTACTTCGTTGAAGTATTGCCGTTTCTGGCTTCGTTATGTTTTTGAAATAATACATACTAGCACCCTTACATCATTTTCTTGCCAGTGTGATGTGAAGCATAACAACGAATGTGCGGCAGGGGGGTTGCAAGGAGAGGCGGAGGGTTTGGACACTCCCCAAGTTCGCATTTACTTTGGCTTTCAATACACAAACCCAGATGAACGGTTGAAATAGCCTTTTGCAGTTGCTCAGGGATCCAGGGGGATATCCGCCTGTCGTACAGCTGTGGTTGGCTCAGCCTCAGTCCCAAAAGATTGTCTGAGGAAACTAAGGGGGTTTGTGGAGTTCCTAAGGAGAAAAAATGGTCTGTATTCTTTCCTTTCGTGCTTATCAAGACGCGCAAGACGCCGTAATGACTGGATCGTCACAATTGCTATAGCGGCAATCTCACGGTGTTGGGGACACAACAGCACATTGCTGCAGCGAACCTTCTCGTGAAGCGACTCGCCCATTTGGTGCTACAGGAGTAGGCATTTCGGCTAATGTGGTTGGGACATCAGATTGCTGCTCTCCCAGCAGCTTGTGGCTCTGGCGCCGCAAGTCACATCCAGGGCCGCTGTGTCTAATCTACAGCGTTTATTAGCCCATGAACCGAAGATTTATTGCATTCTCAATTGAGCAATGCTGCAGGAACATCTTTTGATTGCAGCTGTCGTATGTAGGGGACTTTCGGCCCTCACAGCCCCTGGTGTTGTCGGGACCATTCAGGCCCCCAGGGTTTGTCAGGGGTCTTTTGGAATGAACAAAGGGGCTCATAGTGTATATGCAAGTGGCCTTAGTCTGCCGCGAGTGGCCGCAGTTGCTCGTAGAGGGGACGGGGTGGTGGTTTGGGGGAGCCCTGGATCACACGGTTGGACGCCACAGCAGTCCCCCAACAACAGCGAGAGAAGCAGCAATGCACTTTTGGTGAATATTAGGAGAAATGAGAGAAACAGAACCCATGCGAATGAGCAAAAAAGGCTGGGGGGAACCAAATCCCGAGCAACAGAGTCTTGCGGCGTCTACCCGACTAGAGCTACTGCTGGTGAAACTGCTACTGTTGCTGCAGACGCAGATAGGTTTGCCGAGGCATCAGTAAGTACACGTGTTCTCAATGAAGGCGTAAGCTCTGGTGCTACTGCAGATGACAGATGCATCAACAACAATACTACGAGGAACGGCTACAGCTTAAGAAGCAGCAACCGTTGCCTCAGCAGCGCTTATACCAACAGTGGAGGCACGAGCAGAAGCACAAGTAATAACAGCTGCGGCATTATGGGGCCATTGAACGTTGTGAGCACAGCAGAAGAGGGTGATATCTTGCGAGGTTTGAAGGTAAGAAGCCAACTGATCAACATTCTACTGGAGCTGGGACGCCAGTCCTCAGTAGTGCAGGATCCTTTGGTGCCTCTTCGTATCGGCTTGTGCGTGTGGTATATTTGTCTATCCATGTTCGTTTATGCTTGCGTTTCTGGGCCTGCCCATTTACCCCTGCCCCCACTTTTGCATTTGACTTCGTCTCTACCCGCGCATCCCTTTGCCCTTGGATGTTCCTGTGCCTATCTCTACATCTTTGACGCAGTTTCGTTTTGCCTAGCTGTTGGCCATTGTCTATCATCGTATTTGCCTCTTACGTTAACAGTCCGTGTGTACCTGTGTGTGGATGTGGGTGTGGGTGTGTGCGGTTTTGTAGCTATATTTGGCGTTGCCTTTGTCCTTCTCGTTTTCTGTGCAGTTTACTTGGTAGCTATCTTTTCCCCATCTGTGTTTTTGTACTTTCCTGTTCGCATTTGAGAGTAAATGTTACCTTTTTCTCTAGTTCCCTCAATGTGTATATGTGTACCCTCCTGGATGCCTTTGCGTGAGCTTGTGTCTTGGTCCGTTCGCGAGCTTGTCTTGGCCCCTGTCTGTGGGTTTGTACTTTGTTTTCCCTCCGCGTGCCTGTGTCGTTGTTTCTTCATTGTAGGTGCCTGTGTGCGTGTCTTCACCTTCATCTGTCTCCGTGCCCTTGTCTCTCCCAATATGCAGCTGTATACCTCAGCGCATTTTCTTATATCCATGTTTGTGTATGTGTTTTTATGTTTGGCCGTTCCTGGCCTCATGCCTTTTTTCCAGATGAGTCTCGTTTTCTATGTCTTTGCGGGTTTTGTGCCTGTGCGTCTGCTAGTGACTTTGGGTATGCCTGCGCCGCCGCCGCAACCTGTGACCAACTATGCACCTTTGCTTTCCCACTAGCTTTGCCGACCACTTCGCACTTTCTTGGTATCTTTCAGTTCCTCAAAGTCGGTCGCTGTCCGTCGCCTCTTCCTGTGTCGTTTGCATTGTATGTAGCTCTCACGACTCCGAGGTTTTGCCCGTTTTTTGGGGCGTTGTCGTTGCCTACGTCTGTATTTTTTCGCTTGTCTTCGTGGCGTTAGCTCCACCTGCGCGTGTGTGTCTCGGCGGTTATGTTGAACACGTGTCAGGTGACAGACGCTGTCCCTATGCATGTGTCCTCTTTGTTGGGTGCTCATGCAGGTGGGGACTCTCACATGGACAGGGGAAGGCGTCTTGCGCCTGCTGCTGCAGCGCTGGGGCCTCCACGTAACAGCCAAATTTCCTCGTCTCCTTCCCAGAGAAATCGTAACCGCCCGAATTGAGAAGCTGCAGCCTCGAAGGGGCAAATGCAGGCTTGCATTCTTGGGGACAGAGATGATGGGTCAGCTTTCTTGCTCATGCTCAGCATTGCCGCTGCTGGTTTCTCGGTGGATGCTGATGGTGCGGGTTCTAATGCTGGAGGTGCTGCCAGCTGTGATCCACGGCTGATGTCGAGGATGCAACTTGTGCTTAGTGCTGTGCCTGCTCGTGCCGGTGTTTTGCACACCTTGCCTGTGTTTTGCTATTCCACCTCCATGCTGTCTTCCTCTAGTTTACAGCAGCTCACCATCTCCATGATTACGTAAAATTGGCCTACACTTGGAGTATATTTAGAGACGCAATTGTTGCTCTGCAGCTCCAGGTCAACGAGCGTCTCCTTGTCCCCATTTCCTCGAAGGTTGCGGCGGGTGCCAATTCATACACCTCGACCTTACGCATCAACGTACATCCAAGCAGCAGCTGCTGCAGCAGATGCTGCAGCAGGTGCTGCTGCGACAGCAGAAACTACACAACCAGCAGACTCCGCAGCAAGATATCGGCCGCTGGGAACCCCCTAAAGTGGCGCCTCTCGTCCCAGCCGCGTCTGAGACGCAGTCAGCAACACGATGTGGGCTGCAGCAGCAGCACACGCTGCTGCTGCAACACTTGTGTCAGACACCGGCACAATTAGCAGTAGCACATCCACAACTGTCGTTTGTAAGAGCTTTTACCAGTTGTGACAGCCACAACAGTAGTGGGCGCATTCGTGGCAGTAGCAAGTGCGGCGTCTCCTCTTCCATAGAAGATATGCATTTCAATATCATTACCGCTGCGGCTGTGTCTTCCTCTATTGTTCTTACGTGTGATGCAGATTTGCTGCTCGAGCGGACATGTTGCTTCAGCTAGTCGAGGGTATACCTAGATTAGGCCTTCCAGCATATGATGGGTGCAGCAACATTGTCGGCGTTCAGGATTGCATTCGCCTTAAGGGCCCCTGTACGACGTTTTAGGGCCATGTGGCCCTGCTGTTTTCGTTGCTGCTTGCACTGCTGGTTGTGCCGCTACACGAGTTTGTTTCCGTTGCGTTTGTGGCTTGTGCGCGTCGCAGTGCGTGAGCTGTACCGGCATCTGACGGATGTCCTTTTGCCCCTCTTGAAAAGCCGGCAACTGCGGATACTTGACCAGCGGTGCGGTGCGGGGACGCTGAGTGGCCTGAGTCTCAGACTGGCAGGTGGGGGGGTGAATTTCGCTACTGTTGCTGCTGTGTCTGGTGCTGCGCCTGAACCTCTCGCTGTTATGCCAAACTGTATGCATGTTGCTGTTGCTACACATGCTACAGTAAGGCGAAGGACGGTTTTTAATGATTGCAGCTTGATGTATGCTTATGAAGTGCTTGAACATTTGGCGTTTTCTTCGTTTACGTTCCGATGGAATTGGTGAATACTCCACGTGTCATGGTAGCCGCAAACGCAACCAGCCGAAAAGGCATACAGGAGCAATGCATTCACGTCCGGGAATATTCCATTGGATGGTTTGCTAGTTCCTGGCTACATCGGCAGATTGAAGAGACATAAGTACAGCTGTAGTGTGTGGATGCTCTGTGCGCGTAGAGGACTGCACAGGGTGCAATGGCATGGTGCTTCTGCGGCTGAAGGGGCACCTGGAAAGCAACGTTCGGCCACGTCTCGTGCAACTGGCGGAGACTCTCAGTAAACGCTGCCCAGCCCTCAAAGCTGTCACATTCCATGATCTTAGAAGGTCAAATCCGACTTCCCTGCTTGCCTCTGGCATTGCTACTGCTGCGACATTCGGCGCTGCTGTTGATACGTCTAGCCGGATAGCTGCACTTGCTGCTGCTCCTGGTGCTGCGCTTGGTGCTGGTGCGGCTACGGAGCCCCGTAAGTGTTTTTGGCGCTGCAGGCCGCATTCCCCTGACGAGGTCCTCCTTGGGTCTGATGCACTTCTCGTCTCAGTACTTGGTCGACGATTTAGAATTACAGGTGAGCTCCGCTCGTGTATGCATGTCGGCGTTTCTGGCATTCATCAACTGCACCAGGCAGACTAGCATTGCCAGTTGTTAAGCAGCCAGCTTGCGGTTTCGCAGTACTGATTGCTCCGTAGATTGTCCGTGTTGCATTCTGTATGTATGCAGTTTGATGCTCCACCGTCGCACCCTCTGTAATCACAGAAAGCGTCTATTATTTTGTCTGTTTTGCATCTGCAGGTGGAACCCGGGAGAGTGTTGTTGGCCGTGGGAACGCACTTCAACAAATTTGGCCCGCTGTGGAGAAGGCGGCAGGAAGGGCAGCAGGGCGCCTATGGGGCGCCTTGGGATCGGCGGGGTTGTTTGAAATTTTGCTTTCCGCCCTATTCAAGGAGGTATGTCCAGATGCATGTGGAAAAGGTAGGGGCAGACAGACAGCAAGCGCATTTTGATTATATTATGCACGTGTCAAATGGGACTGTGACGTCGTGGCGTATGGGTTATGACTTAACGCCCGGCAGGTTCGCGAACAGGTTGTAGAGTTGAGCAAGAACACATTTGCAGGCATGCTTAACATTCCACAGAGTCTGCATAGCGTAAAAGGCGCTCAACTCTAGACAGCGTCTAGAAAAAGACAGCGTCACGCCGCTGCAACAACAGTGCAGCGGCCCCTGATGTAATAATTCCGCTGAATTTTACTCTTGTAATCTATTCCAAATATTAGGAGTAAAAAGACAAGCCAGGCCTTTGACAGCGCCGCTCACGTTGTTGCTCGCTGCCTACGCGTGTGCAGGTCGTTGTTTTCGCCTCCAGTGCCCCCGACGCGGAGGAGACCCGGAAGAACATGGCTCTTAATGATCTGTACTGGGGTGAGGTTGTGGAGTGTCCAGACAGTGGGTAAGCTTCGGGGTCGCCGGCGGGGGTGAAGGAGTGGGGGACTGTGCTGCCGTATGCAGAGAGACGAGCAAGCATCCGGATGCCATCAGCCCCCGCGGTCCACGCGGCATTTCTGTGCGATAAGGCGTGTGCCTTGACGGATGGTGTTTGCAGAGGCGTCACTGCTGCTTTCGCGGCACGCTCCGGCTTCTCCGGCCCCCGAAGGGCGCAACACCGCTCGCAGGTGAGAGTTCGAAGTATGGAACTGTTAATGGGTTCCGCAGCCGAGATACCAAGGAAGTGCTTTTGAGAACCGGCTTGATATTCGTATATTACAATCTGGTGCGATGCCGCCCGTGGTGTGCGTATGGTAATGGCCGACTGGGTGGTGCATGCGTTACACTTGCGGATGAGTCTTTTGCAAGAAAACAGTGTATTTGCCTACAGCAAGGAAACGCATTAGGGAAAAGCACCAAGAGCCCTCGACGGGTGGAAAGGGCTTTCGAGGTGGAGGCATCAGACGACAGCGTCGAAGCTGCTTCAGGTACAGCAGGAACAACGCAATCAGCACATGATTTCGTTGGGCATCGTGATGCTGCACTTTACCCTCTAGTTTTGGCCTTGTGTAGATTCGTGCACGAGCAGCTTCTGGTACTCTCGGAAGTCCACAAATTATTTGTTGGCTCCCATTATTCCTGCAGGGGTCACTTTGGCAGGACCTCCTCACCTTCCTGACGTGCTGCTGCTGTCGCCCTCCCGCGGGGGCCTGCCAAAGGCAAGTTAGGTTGAAAGGTCTCATCTACGGTTACTGACCTGAAGAGGCTTTTGCTAGAGGACAATCCTGAACCATGCGTGTAATAGCAATGCCAATGCAGTTGTCCCTAGAGTTGCTATCGCTGTTGTACTGTTAGTGGTCACCCTATCTCTTGAATGATTTTGGCTTAAGAATGAAGAGAGCACAGATTCTCTGCGTGCATTGCGTCTAGTGCTCACCCTATCTCTTGAATGATTTTGGCTTAAGAATGAAGAGAGCACAGATTCTCTGCGTGCATTGCGTCGCAGAATATGCGGAGGTGGGTAGCAGCAGCGGCCATCCCCCGCGTCGTCTACATTGCCCATGATCAGCCTGCATTCTTCAGAGACGCGGAGGCCCTTGTTGCTGCTGGGTAGGGATGGTCCTAGTGCCTGGTGTGGACCTAAGGGCGTGGCCTTTCTTAGGCCACACCAGCGGCTTTGGACGGCCTGTCTGCATTCGCTGCGAGAAGCGCATTACTTCGAGTGGCGACAGCGGGGGATATCTAGAGTGGTTCTGAAGGTTTTGCGATGTCTGTGACGCTGACGTTTGTGGATTGTCCAGGTACGAGTTGGCGGACATTCAAGCTTTTGATATTTCCCCCCATACAACGGATGTCCTGAGCGTTTCCTCTTTCTGTAGAAGACATTTGAAACTTACCTAGGCAGAGAGCCTACACAAAAAGCTCTTGAACGGGGCTCCATCCCTTCACGAAATCCTGCATGTTTCCTCTAGAGACTTCAGAGAGCTACCCACGTTCGCCGGGACCGGCATACCAAGCCTATTGGCGTTCAGACGCTCTTGCGCAATTAGCACAAACACTTTGCATGACCCATAATGATGTCCTTCAATGATCGTGAATGTACACATATTCTGTATGCATTAATGCTGGTGAGCGCACACTAGAATGACTTTCGCAGCAGGTTAGGTTGCTACCGTTTATTCATCTGGCCCAAACGAAACCCTACCTAAAATCAGCCGAGGATTAATGGCTAATTCCAAGTGCTGACTCCACACGGAAGCTTCCTGCAGGCCCTGTAGCCCGACGGGCCTGGATATATCTACACGGGACAGTATGCGTTTTACACTGATTGTATGCCAGGCACCTCAGTGTCCGATGGTCCGGTGACATCACAGCCTGGTGGGACTTCTGCTTTGGTGGGGCTAGGCATCAGCATTCCGGGGGGGAGGGTTCTGGCAGAGTGTGCCCTCCAAAGATGACCATGCATCGGTCGCAGGTGCTCTCAAATGGGCGGAAACAGCAGAAGAACAATACTAGAGTGAATGAATTTTGTCGTTGAGGATTTGACAGGACGAATGTAGCTAGAAACCCGTCTTGTACCATATAGGATTGCAAGGCACTTATAGTGTTTTTTCAGCTAAACGGACGTCTTCCTGGGTATCGATTTTGTACCGGTCAAGAAGGCTGTGAAACTTCTGGGCGCTGCCCCGGTCGTTGATGGTGGGCACTGCATCCGCTATGCAGCAAGACACAAGAATCGGGTGTAGGGTTTAGAATTATGGCAAGTGAAGATATGTGCCGCCTGCTGCAAACATGCTAAAAAAGAAATTCCAAGGCCTCAGATTAACAATCCACAGTTTTGTAATGTTCCCCGCTGCCAGTTGAGAACTATGCGTAGTCCTTATGATGCGCGGCTCACCGATAAGGGCTTCGTCATCTGGCCCTCCGAGGATAAGGGCTGGTGGGAGCGAACACCATAGCGTCGTGCTGTGCGTGCTGTTTTCTCCAAGGCAGAGAAAGCCTGCACCCATACCCTACCCGCTGAATCGCTACGTTTAAACCTTGCGGCAGTACAGGCAGCCATAGGTCTCACCCATTGCATTTCGCATGCCTAGGCCACGGCACTGTTTACGCAAATGGACTATATTCAGGGGGCAAAAGATCGCAATGGATATACATAGTCTCGAAGTGAGTGCCCTGCAATGTTGTAGCTGATTATACACCAGGTGAAGCCGTGCAGCAAACGTGCGGCAGTGAGGACACTAGGATGCTCCGTGTAAGTGGGCGAGGTATTTCCCGGTAAGCTCAGTTGCTGCTACCGCCTCCAGACCAACGATTTTTGCTGCTGCCGCTGCTCGTTTTGATACTTTGAAGGATTGCCTGTTTCCTGAGATTGCTCCTACTGTTACTTTCGTTGCTGCTGCCACTACTGCTGCTGCAGCCGTACGGGAACTTGCATGCGACGTCCGTCGAGCAGCAGCTGCTGCCGGTGTGTTATCAGGTGTGGTGGTTGTCCTGCTGCTGCGGCGAAGGCAGAAATGCGCCAATTCTTTTGTCGTTGCAGTTGTTCGCGAACCAGGGGCTGGAGCTGCTGCTGCTCGTTTCCCGGCAGTGGGCTGTAAGATGTGCTTGGCACATCTTACCTGCTCACCGTAGAACCCAAAGGACTGAATTACGTGATTGAGGTTCTAAGAAAACCATAGACAGTAACGTGTAGTTGCCCATAGCCGCATTGGTATTCTCCCAACAGCTTATGCAGATGCCAAAATGACCACCACTGCCGACAACCGAACAGACGTGGTATAAAAAAAATACAAGAAGGGGTGCTCAACCACAAGCCTTCGAGATCTAAATCCATGCCAGTGGCTTCATGTTCACTAGTCATCCCCCCCTATGCAGTCCCTGCGAATGGAAATCCCCGTAGTTTGTAGTTCAGTTGATGTAAACGCTAAGATAAACCCAGGGGCTGCTGCCGTCTAGTATACCTCCAGATGTCCAGCCTCTTCCTCTGCTGTCATCCTCCCGTTTTGCCTCCCATATCCACCCCACTAATCGGCGTTCTAATCAACGCACGCAACCCTCGAAACTCAAAAATACTCCATCCTAACGATGGAACTGATTACCTATTCACTGTTCATACCATCATACTAGCTACCACGTTCTCACCCCCTATTATTTGCCCACCAGGCCAGAGCCTGCTATGTGCCAGCCTGCACTCCCTACGCTACTTCCCTCACCCCTATCTGCCATCTAAGCTGTAGAATTCCCAACGATGTACCGCTTCTGTCTAGTGGCTGCTGTAACGATGTGCCACCTAACAAATGAAGCGCTACTATGACGCAATAATCCTCTAGGCATTCGCGCGGTGTAAACACACCCTTCGAGTTTGGTAACCAAGCAAGTCCCTCCTTTGGCACCAAGACGCACAGACACCACGTACTCCTTATAAACCAGCATGAAGAGGACTGTTTAGTGGAGCTGGGCCGGGGAAAAAGACCTCTCCTATTTGCAAAACACACTTCTAGCAAGCGTGCCGCACTTCGTGACGACACAACCCTGCACTCCTGCTTCCCCCTAACTGGGGATACAGAACGCTAGTCCCCCGTGTCGAATTCTATGGGCATCTGTCCGTATACTACGCAGGTTCAGCGGTTGCAGGCATCGGCTCCACACAGCCGACACCAATCAATACTGCTGATTGCCCTTCCTAAACCTCCAATCGTCTTAATCCTCATAAACATTCATAAAACATGCAAGCCGCCGACGGCACCTTGCATGTACACTTCAGGTCGGAGGCCGCCAAAATGAGTGGACCGAGGTGCCTGCCGTGACAATTTCTTAATGCCCGTCAAGCAACGCCGCCTGATTGACCCTAGTCGAAGTTAATACAAACCCCTTAGTCTTGGCTGCGACAAACCCCTTGGTCTAGGGTGAGGAGATCCCCCGTGACCTTGAGACAAGAGACCTAAATCATTTGGGTTGAGGACCAAAGACGACGCCCCTATAAACTTCACCACTCCATTCACCAACTCTTCCCGCCAAACATTCCGCACGACATGCATGCGGATAAAAAAACGCACACCGTGATATACAACGCGTGCTTTAGGATCGACTTCTGCCGAAACAGTGCAAATGCACTCTCTGATTACCGCTGCCTCCTTCGAGGGCTCTGGGCTCTACAATAGCAATTAATATTAAACCAAAAAATATGCATGCAACGTGCGCTTGGCCCCCCAAAAAAGCACGAGAAAACACCCATACTTGAGCCCGTCACGTACGCGTATGTCCATGCAAACATACATGAATACATACATGCAAAGAGTGTCCGTATGGAAAGCACATCTTGTACGTCACTACCTGTACATGTGCATCCCATGAAGCGACACATTAAAACCTGGCTTTATATCTCTCTAGCACCGCCCATACCATACCCTCCAATGCTGCTACTACGGCTGCTGCTGCCGTTGCTGCTGTCACATTTTTCCATTCAACGTTGCTGCCGCAACTGTCCCCATCGCAAAAGAAACGGAACCAAAGGTGAAGGAGGAGGCGTGACGCCGCAGTGCGAGCCCGGATGCACGCATATAAGACGAAAATCACCCCAGTAAGCAGAGGCATCGCCCCTCTAGAAAAAGGTAAGCGACAGACAGAGGAGGAAAAGGACGGAGATAAATGGATACAGGCTGAGAGTGCTAGATCGAACAGTGATAAACGAGGGCGAAGAGAGGAGATAAGCGAGCGGAGAGGCCTCCGGGTGGCGGCACGTATACACCACAGAGAAGTGACAAGCAACGACCGCAATGAAGATAACGACTTGTACGAATGAAAGAAGACGAAGACGGATGGGTGCAAATATCTGGTAGGCAGATAGAAGTGGCACAAACGCACACATCCACATCAGGACGGACCACACACACATTACACACATCGTGAAAACTCAACGGGGGGGAGGCGGAGGAATGAGTGGGGGGGAGTACCCACAGAACGTCGCAAACACGCACGAACAACCACAGGTACGAGCCTGCGGAAATAATGCAAATGAATTGACAGACGCGTACAGTGAGGAAAGGGTAGATGAGAGCTGCTTGATGCAGCGAGGCCTGCGATGGGTCGCAAACGGCAGCTGGGGATTCTGTAGTATGAGGTGCTTCACCCTTTCACTCAAGCGCCTTTCGTCTCAGCTCCTCCGAAATGCAGAGTCTGTAATCCGCGAAAAGGTGGAAGCAGTTGCGGGACATATCACCCTGCAGTCAAAAGACAGGACATAGGCATTAGTAAGCAACAAGGGACCCATAGGCAAAAGCAATCGGTGACGGCGACGGACCAAAGAGAGAACTGAGGAAAGAAACACACACCTAATGAGGATGCAAGCAAGAAGCAAGAGAGACAAAAACAGAGACGTGAGAGGCGGGACTTTAGACAGATGCGATTGGACAGAAGGACGAAGGCAACGTAAGTGGTAGTCCTCAAAGAAACTATGGAAGTAGTGAAAGTATGGGGCGGACGGCGCAGAAAGCCTTCCGCTCGTGAATACGCGAGAAGGCGTGGATGGCCGCGTGGGAGAAACAGGCGCATGGATGTAAGGACAACGACGGATAATGACAAAAAACAAGCAACATAACGCATGCACTGGGAAAAAACCTAACGCCAGACAGCAAAGAAGGTGCGCGACTTCGCGAACGCTGGGCGAGCTCTGTTCACGGATTGGAAGACGGGGGACATCGACAGTGCACAGAGACAGAATAAACATGCCAAGAAAACACGTACAAAAGAGCTCATCACGAGACAATGTCGAACGAAATTAGAATGCATCGAAGAGAACTGAAAGGCACGCAGAGAAGCCTGTGACTCCTGTGATGTACATAACTAGCCATGAGCCATGAAACAAGCGGAGGGGGCTGCCATGTGCACTCGTGGGGTTCAGAGACGCACAGCTAACGCACAACCGCTGCGTATAGCAAAATACTGATAAAAAAAAGTCGTAAGCAATCAAGCACAGAGATGAGCAGAACTGAAGACCGAGACGCGGGTTCTAATGTAGGTAAAAAACCCGACAGGTGTATAACGAGAAACACGACGATTCTAGAAGGTATACAAGAGCACACATGCCTAAATTCACGCATATGATGAAGAAAAAGCTGCACAGCAGAAAGGAATCGTCCCGTAGAGGGGATGAGCCAGCAATTCGCAAGTAGAATTCAACACGGAGAGGCTATCCCTCCGCAAGCGCGACACCTATGTGGGAAGAAATTGAGGGCCAGCTGGCAGACGCAAGCAGGCGTTAACGACAAACCTTCAGAAAGTGCTGTCTGTACCAATGGTTAAAACACCGGTCATACTGCTCCTTCAAACCCGCGCATGTGACCATCTGCGAAGCAGCAGCACCCATATGAGCAGCACACAGATGCTTCAAGGTTCGTGCAGCTCCTTAACTGCACCACAAAACGCGGCTCTGTCTGAGAACTGAGGCCCTGTGTCCCGCTGTACTCACCGCTTCGCGCATTGCCGTTCCGCGGCTCTGTCCGTCCTCCGGGGTTCTCTGGCCGGTAACCGTCGACCTCCAATATGTAGCTGTGTCCTTGCTGCTGCCGGTGAAATTGCTGCTGCTGCTGTTGGCTTGGTTGTTGCTGTAGTCCTTGCTGCTGTTGCTGTTGCTGTTGCTGTTGAAGTTGTCGCAGCTGTTGTTCTTGGAGCTGTTGCTGCTGCTGTTGCCGCTGCTGTTGCTGCTGCTGCTGCCACTGTTGCACTTGTTCGGTCCCCCACCGCTCTCGAGAAACTCGCTGTTTCTGGAGTTCAAGTTGCTGCCGGAGAAGCTCCTGGCGCAAGTGCCACCGTTGGCAGAATCGTGCCCAGTGTCTCTCTTTCTTCCGAATAACAGCATTTATCCACGAGTGAGCAACAAAGCAGTTTTCCAGCAACGGTAGGCTGCTGCTGCTACTGGCCACACTTCCACGCCGTGTGCTGCCGGTGAAGACGCTTTGGCTAATGCTGTCTTGCCTCCTGACGACGGGTCCGTCTCCGCGGAATCCTTCACCTGGTGCCCTCCGCCGAACGCCCACAGAATTGTTGCCCCGCACCAAGTTAAGGAGCCCAAGTGTGTCCAAGTCGGGTGCCGAGAACGCGCGTGGCCGCAGTGTCCGATCACATGAACCGCAAGTGCAAATTGCGGTGAAGCTTTGGTCGTCGGTGTATGGGCGACGTGCGCGCCCAAAGAGCTGCTCGTCGTACTCCCGCAGTTGTTCCTGTCTCTCTCGTCTTTGTTGGTACTCAAACTGTAGTTGGTTACTTGGAGGGAGTCTTCGCACATATATCCGCCCAGGGCGATCAAACACCGAACTGTCTCTCAGCAAGTAGTACGACAGGACCACGGAAAACACCAAGAGCAGCGAAGGGAACCACACAGCATGAACGGGTGAAGAACTTCGATATGCTGCACAAATAATCAAAACAAGCATAACAATTGACTGCAGCACTTGCTGCACAACAACCAGTATCCATGGCATACTGCAGCTACCCCCTGGCTTCGACGTCCACTCGATTGCTGCCGCTGCTGCGCCGGAGGGCAGCACACACACTCGACAGGTTAGCCTTCTCACTTTGGAGGCTTGCTATGTTGTGTTATAGACTAAAACGCTTCAATGTTAGCATTCAGAAGACAAGAAAACGCGTAACATTGCTCAAGACGCACGGATGAGAGCAGCGTGTAGGACTCCGAGTGACACGGTCTGGGGGGTCCTCGCTGCTTTCGAAGCAGCAGCAGCAGCGCGGCCGGCAATAGCAGCGCCAGTGGAAGCATAACAGAATGCATCAGCAGCAGGAGCAGATTGCTTATTATTCATGCTGCACTCTCTGGTATTGTATTTCCTTCATGGGGAAGCAGGAGAGCTAAAAAAGACCAAACAGCTGGGGAACGTCAACTCAGCAGCATCAGAGTTGCTGCCGCGTCGCAAACCTTCCAATACATCTACCTCCGGGACATGTGTCGGCTTCTTCTGCTACATTTAACACATGATATAGCCTATTCGTGAATAAGTGGAACGGGAAGTCGCGATAGCAGCAGTAGAGTAAAGACTTCTGGAGTTCTGGCGCAGGATTGGAAGCGCGGGCCTTGCAGCGGAGGCAGACGCAATGGAAGGAGCTCTAACAAGGACTTTACCTCTTCCTGTTTGCAGCAAGCAATTGAACCAAAGGCATGCTTAACAGGGGCCTTGTTTTTCTGCCACCAGCTGCAATAAGGGTGGCAGGATCTCGGCGGTGTTGTCGGCGGCGTTGACAGTATGTTGCACTTTCATGCCACAGTAGGAACAGCAACGGGGGCTAAACAAGTTGCAAATAAGCAGGTAGACAATGCAACAGCAGGGGAAGCAGCAAAAGCAAGAGAATGGAGAGGGCGACTGCATGGATGTTAGCAGCACGGGTTCGGATGGTGACGGACTGGAGACCCTTTGCGCCCCCGGGTTCATTTCAAAACATGATGTTGGGACGCCCCGACCAGAATGTTCTGCTGCAGGAGCGGCAGAAGGAGGTGCAGCTCCAGGTAAGGAAACTTCCCCCCCGGGGTTCCACCCATACGGCGGAGCAGCGCCAGGGATCCTCACCTTCCAGCTGCTAGGAGATAGAGGAAACAACAAAGTAGCGAAGCACATCCCGAAACCTCCTCAACTGCACCACCCTAGGCCACGTATAGGTCATACGATCAGCCCATTTAACCTTCCGACGAGGGGCTCGCACCAACAGCCGCAACACCAGCAAAAACAGCAGCGGAAAACATCTTGCATTCGGGGGCACGTCGAGGAGCAAAGCCAGCAGCAAAATATCACGGCGCATCCACCGTTGGCATTCCATAGTAGTAGTGGCGTCGGCAGCGGCCCAGGTTTTAACAGAAGGAGCACCAACAGGTGCAGTGCAGAGAAATGTTGGGCGCAGTGCCTTGTCAGGCCGGTAATGATTGGTGGCACATGTGCCACAGCTGCTGCTGCTGCTGCAGGAGCAGCACCCAACGAACTCTTGCACAGAATTATAGAGAGTGAGCTGCAAATATCTGCATTGGCTGCAGTCTACGATTCGTCTGGGGCGCGGCCTAGCCCTCATTTTGTCGTTATGCTACCGCATGTGGACGTGTGCTGCTGCTGCTGCAGGGACACGTGAGATAGCAGGGGACGCATTTTTGGGATTCACTGCAGCAGAAGCCGCTGCTTCTCTGCGGCAGACACCTTTTCCGGTGTTGCAGCAAGCAGCGGCAGAAGCAGCGGCGCGAAGACCGCAGCCGCACACTTTGCTGCCCCAGAGATCTTCGCCACCGTCACCAACAGCGAAAAAGGAACGGGAAGTTGTAGCATCAGCAGCACCGGCCTTTCTCGAGAGAGAATGGCTGGAATGTTATATATCTCTTCTGTGTAGTGCTGGAAGCGATTGCTGGCTGTGGTGGCGCTTGCACCTAGCGGAGGCCTCTGGAGATCTCGGTATTTCTAGTACTGAAGCCGCTGCTACATGCGTAGCGACGCCAGAACAACGCGTACATCACGCTGCCGCTTCCGTGTCTGCCGAGAGGCAGTGTTCAGCTGTTGCTGTCTTTGGTGGTCGAAAGGCGGACGGCGGTTTGGCGGACAATGAAGTATGCAGTGCACCCATTCCTTGGCGCCATATTTGGCGTTGTAAGCTGCTCTTGGTGTTGTCGCCGGTGTTTCTGTGGGCCTGCTTCTTAACCCTCCTTTTGCAATTTTTGTTTCTCTGATTGCTTCAGTTGTATCTGTTGGAGGTAACGCCACTGCTCTCCCTAGACTTGCCGTTGTACATATTGGGAGATTTGCTGTCTCTAGCACATTCTCAGCCCGCACAAGGAGCATCAACGGCAGCCGCTTTAGCCGCTGCAGATGCAGAAATCGCGGCAGCTGTGGCACGCGCTGCCTCCGGTGACGTGAGGAGTCAGATAGACCAATCTCACCAGGATGCAGCAGCACCACATGCCGCTTGGAGGAACAGCAGCAGAAGCAGCAGCAGTAGCAGCCCGCCCATGCTGAGATGGCGCGTACCCCTATGTATTGGTTCAAAGCCTCCACCTCGGCTTGGTCATTCTCTAGTGTATGCGGAGCCCCACCTGATCCTCTACGGCGGCAAAGATGAACGGTGACATGATGTCCTTGCTGCTGTTACCAGTGCTGCTGTTATGAGTGTGGCGTCTTTATCTGATATGGCTGCCATCGCCGCCGCTGCTGGGGGGTACCCTTCTTGCTGTTCGCCCCTTCCGTGTATGTATCCATGGCAGCCGCTTGTGGCCATCATCATGCTGATATTTTGAGCTAGGGTGCCGACTATGTGGCGCGTGTGCTGCTGGGCGAGCAGGGGCCGGCTGCTGAACGACGTATGGCTGCTGGATATATTTGATTGGAAAGAAGTGACTGGACCTACATCCGCAGGAGCACGAGCAGCAGTGGGGACCGTTTCTGATGACGTGGGTGCAGTGCCGGCGTCCGGCGAGGGTGCAGCAGGAAAAGCAGCAACAGCACGACGGGTCGCCTTGTTTTGGGTCTCTCTGGATTTTTCTTCATCTCCCTTGAACCCTCCCGGACGTTTTTTACATTCTTGCAGCGTCTTTTTTACATCTGCAAACTCCGGATCCTGTAGCATTGTACGTACGCCTGCTGCTGCTGCCACTGCATCCCTTTTTGCGGTTGCAGCTTTACGGAGTGGTTCCCCTGACAACAGTGCCTCCTGTTCTGCTGCTGCAGCAACCTATTCGATAAGTGTAGGCATGCTATGCCCCACGCGGTCGGCTGCATCTGGGTTCCTCTGCTGCTGTCGGCTCGTCTGCAGCTACAGCTGCCACTAGCGCGTTGCGTCTAACACTGTGGGCTGTTTGGGCTGTCTCAGGTGATTGCGGGCGGGTGGACCTCGGTGGTACTGCCCCGCTCTCGGCTTTACGCACTTCACAGAAATGCGAAGGGAAGCTGGAGACATGTGCGTCAGGCTGGCAGCAGCAGAAGTGGGAGCTACAGGTGCAGCAGCACCCAGTAGTAGTACTGCGTGCAACGGCGAAAGTAGTAGCCAATGAAGCTACAGATGCATCACTTGAAAGGGGAGACAGCAGCAACAATAGCTTTTGCACTATCAGCAGAATTACCCGGCATAGTAGCTTCGCTGTTAACTACGTGGATGTCAGGAGCAGTACGCTTGTGTCATTGCAGGGTATCCTCCCCGTCCGAGTTACGAACTCAGCAGATAGACGATTTATGCATGGTAGGGGATGCCATTGTCAGTTGCGTCAGTTGAAGCGTTCGTTGACCTGTCCACTTTTTTATCGACCTGTAGACGTCTTTGTTGCCGCCTTCGTTCCTGCTCCTCCTGCTGTCGATGCCGCCGCCGTTTGGGTTGCTGCGACTCGCAGCGGACCCGCTGCAGGGGCGTTGGCTGTTGCTGCGCATTGATAGTACAGCCGGTGTTTCATTGCATTTTTGTCTCGCGCTAAACCTTCTGAGGTGAACAACGTTGCTGCTGCCGACTCATGCCGTTGTGGTGTCCTTACGGTGGTTGGAAGTGTGTTGCTGCTTCTGTCTGTGTCGCAGCGTCGGTTTGCGCAGGTTCTTCATTGCTGTTGTTAGGCGGCCTCCAGATCCGCCCTGGAGCACCACCGTATGCAGACAGCACACGTCTTGTGTTTCATGCTGCCAGGCTCTGTTGGTCTATTCCTTTTCTCTTCGTTCGCTTCCTCCGCTTGTTGGTCCATCAATAAGCCTCACAGGCAGTCCTCCTCTGGTGCCCGTGTGTCCGAGAGCTCAGAGTTGCTGTGGCCTTTTTGTGGATGTGAATGTTGTTGCCACAGGTGCGCCGTCGCATGCCCAGTCATCTCGCATGACGCTCGAAGCCACCGGAGTGTTTCTTTCCCCCATGCGCCCATATCTGCTGTGCGTTTATGACTCCTGCGGGTTTTGCTGCAGATTCCCTCATGCGCCTTCATTTTCGTGTGCGTTTCTGGTGCCGTTTGGTGCAGCAGCTGGTAGGCCAGATGTGTGCCCCTGAGTGCTGCACGTGCAGTGGTGCGATTTCCTCTCTCTGTGCTGCTGCTTCTGCAGCTAGTAGGCCACCAGGCGTGGCAGGTCGGCGGACAATTGTTTTCCTTTGGAGGCCTCGAAGTTAACGAAGGTGATAGTGAGCCCCTTAGCCCTGTTCCCGTAAGCGGCGTCGTCGTTTTTGATGCATGCGGTGAGCGGATGGTCTGTAGTGCCTACCTGGCAGCTGTCCTATCCCAATCCGCCAGTTTATCTTCCACCTGGCCAGCGAGCTGAACAGTCAGATGTCCACCACCACGACCTTTGTATGGCCCGTGGAGCATTCGTCAGGTGGCCCGAAGGAAGAGCTAGCCACCCACCAATCCATAGCACCGCCTCCACTCGTAGATTGGGGCTTGCTACCGGCTCTCCTGTGCACATAGCTAGCATAGCAGCTAGCCACCCAGGCAGAGAGCAGCCAGCTGCTTCGCACAGCCGTTGAATGGAGCAGTCGCAGGTTGACTAGTCAGGCCAGAGTGAAGTTAGGCGTGATGAATAACATGACGCCAAATGTGTGAGCTTGAGGGCTAGGACTCGATAGTTAATGCTTGTGGTGTGGTTGCGTGTCACTCAATACAGAGCTGCTCTCGTCCGCTGCTGCTGAGCCGCTGTTGGCAACTAGGTACCAGACGCAGTTGCAGCTACAGCTGCGTGCTGCACCGGGGACAGTATTTCGCCCAGGCTTACATAATCATGCAGCAGCAGGAAATAACCAGTGCTTTGGGGAAGAAAACATTAGAAGAAGCACGGGCAGCAGCAGTCTGGAACAGGGAAATATGGAAGAGCAGGAGCCAGCTAGTAATGTTTCCTACAGCAGGGTGCTGCATCAGGAGACAGTTCATATAGGCAATGCACCAAAAGACTTGCCAGTGGATGCGCCAGTTGCCGCATCAACACGGGAAGCGGTTACGATCCCACAATCTGCAGGTAGTAGCACCGCACCCTACTCTGCGCGAGGACGCGCACCACTGGATGCTTGCAGTGAGAGCAAGAGGCCGTGCTCTAGGCCGCGGAGCTTCGACTCCTCTTCTTTTTCGAAACAAGGGACCGCGTCGGAAGCAACAACAGGAGCAGCAGATCCTCCTGCCCCTGCTCGTTCACTGGCTGGTGCTGCAGCGGCGATTGACATCGGCCAGACTTGTGTAGCAACCACCGGCAAACAACTGCAGGGGCAAGGACGTGGAGGAGGGGAGGGAGGTTCGGAAGCTTTCCATCCACCCACTGGCGATAGGGCAGCACCTACCCTTGCTGTTGTAACAGCCGTTACAGCTGTTTCTGCTGCTTCGACGGACTTGTGCCAGTCGCTGGGTGCGAACGCCTGCACCCCCCGGCGTAGTCGGCGGATGGCAGCTTTACAGGCCCTGGAGTCTTTTAAGCAACTCCCCGATACCTTGACCTCCGCTTCCGCTGGGGCTCCTGGAGCGGCGTTGGCGGCACCGACCCCAACACCAGCAGCTGCAGTAGGAATGCGGTCGGGTGCAGAAGGCATTTAGCGTGTAACGATTATAAGGATTCCAACGACATACCACAGAGAGTACAGAGTACTTGTAGATGAGCATAGGAAGCCATAGCTTTATCGCGTTCCCCAACCGGCGTCAAGTAACAATGGCAGCAGCAGCAACTAACAACCAACAGACATGCAACAGGCCGTGCAGCAGCAGCAGTGACCGCAGCAAGTCTTCATCCTGAACGAGACGAAACTGCCCAGCTGGAGATTAACAGTGCTTTGGTCAGAGTTTCCGGCTATGCTGCTCGAGGTGGAGCAGAGGCGAGCGTCGATTATTATTGTATTGGAAAATATACACAGTCATTCTCAAAACATCTTAAGGGTGCATGGTAGCTTCGCGACATGCGCCAGCCAATGCGGTTGCTTGCATTCCGATTTTGCGTTTTGACCTCTGAAGGGAAGTTTTGCAGGTGTTGGAGGGGACTACGATAAATAGGGGCAGTGTATTGTTATGGTCAAGTACAAACGTCAGTTCAGATGGCACTGGATGAAGGAATTGCTTAGTATGCGTATGATAAGCATAACGGTTTAGTATGCACTGGGGGTTTACTGAATGGAGTTTTACTGAATGGGGTTCTTATTTGAAAGCGCGTCCATCCACCGTCCTGTTGGGAACGTTGGTGCCTGTGGCAACAGCATGTGCCATATCAGACAAAAGGACGCTTCCGTCCATGAAGCTGATGGCGTGTTGGCTAGAGGGAGCAAATGACCGCAGATGAAACATACAATGGAATATCATAGTATTGCCTTAAGTAGCCCGTCAGTTCTAGGGGTCGTCGAAGCTGAGGAAATGCATTGCAGGATAGCATCCAAGCTACCTGGTAGCTTGGACGTTGGGGCGCCTATACGCTGGGTCATTGTAGCAGACCGACGCCACTGGATGTTTGCACAGTCGGTGTCACATGGGGCAACTAGAACAGCAGCAAAAGTGAAAATAATGGCAGCAAGCGCAGCTAGCTAAGCTAAGGGGGGCTATGAGGCAGCATTTTAGCTACTACTGCACTGAAAGCATGTACATAAGTTGGTTAGTGTGCAAGGGCCTGTTGGATAACTAGCTGACCTAGTTAGAGCCGCCGATGCTGCGGATGCTGGGGTGACGAGGTGACGGGAGGGAAACGAGCATCGCATGGGTGGAATGCGTGTATTTGAGGTTGGGGACTGCAAAGCTGACTCCAGGGGACAGCCACCTTAGCTTGGTTGCGCGGGCGTTCCGTTGTTGTAGAACGCCAACCGATTTGGGCAGCACACGAAGCGATTGACACTAGGATCCTGGGTGTAGCGGCAGCGCATATGTAGGGCGTCTTCACTCCTAACTCCCTGTGTGATACGTTTTGACTATATTGAAGCTCTGGATGGGTCTCAAGAAAAGACTGATCCTGCTATGCACTACCCGTGCGCCCTGGTCACAGTAGCCCAAAAGGATGCTATCCCATACATCATCAGTAGCCACTCAACATGAGAGAAGAAGTACGTGTACCAAACGTGGAAAGACCATGAAATACATGCTACAGAGGGCCCTCTGGCATGATCAATGGACGCCGTAGAGACACACGAGCAGTTTGTACTTGATTGGGGCATTCGCTTGCAGGCGAATTCGTTATATTGCAGACTTGCAGTCCACTAATGCCGATTTTGATAAGACCAGTTGTGCTGCATTGTCTAGAATTGTGCCTATGGACAGCGAGCATGGACTATACCAGGTTCTCCTGGAGGCCAGTAGGGCTACCTTACGGCGAACAGGGCAGCAGGTGTTGATGCTGTTATTTCCCAATACTGGAAGTATAAATACAAAACTTCTATGCTTACTAGTACTGGAAATAGAATTACAAACTCAGAAGACACGCATCACACCCAAAATTAGCCGGAAAGCACCCACGAGTAGCCACTGCTCACACGTGGGACCTTACCTGTGGGTGGGGCCCCTCTTCGTGCATTTAGTATATCAAGCATAGCATACCTGCGGCCTCTTCTTTGAAACTGCCGGAACTTTTGTTTACTTCCTTATTTTTAACGGTTCATAAACAGGGCAAAATCGTTAAGATGTCGGTATCTACGACGGGAGACACGGTTGCCTCGCCTGCAACGTCTGCCGTTGCCGGCAGTATCAGTGCAACTGCGGCCGGCGGCAGCAAAAGTAACTGTTTGGCCTCTCTGACGTTGTTTTACAGCTGCTTTCTCTGTTTGGCTGTCGTCATGGTGACCCCGTTTCTGAATCCTCCCCCTGTTCTACTGCAAATGGTTCTTTACACCGCCCCCATCCTTTATGTCGGCAGTCATTTGTCCCTCAAACAAAACGAAGTTGACGCAACCACAGGAGAGAGACTCAACAAGGGAGAGGCAATGAATAGAACAGATGCCATGCTGTTCCCCATCTTCGGCTCAATAGCCCTGTTCAGCTTGTAGGGCCGACACCTTCAGGCATATTGTTTGCTGTACTCTTATGTTGAGTGGAGGTTGTGTTATTTTTGCTTTGTGGCTGAAATTATAGGGGTCTCAGCCTCTTATGGGATACCGGTCTATATGGGGCTACATCCTTTTTCTCTTCAGGTACCTGGCGTACAAGTTCTTGGGCACAATCTGGGTGAATATGTTGCTTACACTTTACCTGACGGGCGTGGGCCTGTTGGCATTGGGCGAAACAATATTCGCAGTGACTGTAAGCAGTAACAAGCAAAGGAGGTATTATACAGCATGTGTACCGCTTCTGCCTAGCTGGCCTGTGCCCTTAAACCAGCGTCACCCAGCAAATATAGGAGACAAGATAATGGGACAATGAATGCTGGAGGGCGTCCCATTATCCTGTCTCCTATTTTTGCTGTGTTACGCTCGTTTTTCCTATTGCCTCCTTCTATCTTACTTATGTTTGTTTCTTCTTTCTGTATTGTAGCCCGCATAGAGCTCCCTGATTGTGTCTGGTTGCTCTATCCCGTCTGTTGCCGGCTGTGTTGGCGTGTGTATTAGCTTGAACAGGCTTGTGTATTAATTCTATCATCACTGCGATCTCACATGTAGCTACAACCGCTGTGTCTGAAAGGTTGCTTCGTCTGTTGTCGGCTTGTTGCATAGCCCCATGTTCTCTTGTGTCCACTTGCAGAGATACGTGATTTAAGGCTTGTGCTGCTGTTGATGTTGGGGGTGGTTTGTTTCCTGCAACACAGAAGCCGCTGTGTCCTCCACAACTGCTGGATGAGAGTTGGTTGGTCCTTCACCCCAGAGGACCTTTCCTGTGTATTCGCAAATGGATTAGCGGCCCTGCAGCGAAGTCTCCTGAGCCCGACCAGCAACAAGAGCAGCAACCTCAAGAGGAGCCGCCACAAGAGCAGCAGCAACCTAAGGTGGTTGTGGATTGGAGTTGGCGCTTTAGTCCTCTCTGGATTATTTCCCATTTGGTTGCGTTGGCTATATGCACGTTATGGCTCCTAACAAAACATTGGGCTCTTCACAACATCCTAGCAATCGCCTTCTGCATCCAGGTGCGTATGCATTGCATGCTTGGGCTTCTCTCGACTGATTGGCTGTCGCGTTTTCTTCCCTTCCATCGTTCCCGTTGAATATCTCCATATAGCATATTCCATAGAGGCTCCTTTGCCTCCGCTGCGTAGTTGAATAGCGGGGTCTGTAAACGCTGCTTGCAGCTTTTGGTGACGTAGGTGCTGTTTTACTAATGGCGAGCAGCGGCTTTTGCAACCCTTCCTACGAGTTGACGTTCACGCGCCACGCATTGAGTGTTGTTTTGATTGCCCGAGCTGCGCCCGCTGCTGATAGAGTTGTTTCTGCTGCAGGCGATAGCGTTGGTCAGCGTGGGCAGTTTCGGCGTCGCCAGCATTTTGCTATGCGGCCTCTTTGTGTACGACGTGATCTGGGTGTTTGGGACGGAGGTGATGGTCTCGGTGGCAAAGGTGGGCGTGAAAGGGGAAACGGAATCCCTCTAGAATCATGACGTGCATCGTGGGGTTTTATTAGAAACAAAAGAGACTCAACACACTCTCACAACATGCGGCTGTTTTGCTGTTCCTGTCGCTTTGCTATGCTTTGCTTGCTATCGCGCGCGCGATCGGGTATCGACCTATGCAGTAGAGGGTTGGTATCTTGCTTAAATGCCTAATTCGCCGTTGAGTGGATCGTTTCTTCGTCCATGGAGGCCACTGCGTTTTTCGTAGCCTCCGTAATTTGCTTTTGCATTGTGCATCAATGAGCTTCCTGCAATCTGTCTTTTGTCGATGGCAACTGGATGTTTGAGCCAATCTCTCTCTTCGGAACCCTACTCTCCCTTGTCATCCCGTGTGTGTAATTGTCTGCGTTTCCATTTGTGAATCGTTGGGCCTGTTTTCTATTCCGTGGCCGGAAGAAACGATTGTGCACTAATTTTGGCCTGCAAGCGCTGCATCGTTCCCCGCTTCTCAGCAGCATACGTCGGCCAGAAGCTTATTTTGCCAGCTTCCTCCTGCCTACAGTATATTTTGCCACGTGTTCTTTTCGTCTGATTATTTTACGGTTTGGCCGATTTTTCCTTTCTGTTGATCTGGCAAATTTATTGTCTACCCGCCTGTGTGCTCGCTTTGGGTTCAGGCCTTCGAGGGCCCCGCTAAGCTGATGTTCCCTGTTCAAATCTCCCCTTTGCAGTACAGCATCCTTGGCTTAGGGGACGTTGTTATCCCAGGGGTCTTGATAGCCATGTGCCTCCGCTTCGACTTGTTTTTGTACCTGAAGCAACAAAACGCAACAGCACAGCAACTAGCAGTAAACATCCACCAGGCAAGCCATTAATGCCGTCCTCCCCGTCCTAATGCCAACCGACATACTCCTGATGGATTGCATCTGCGTCTCGTTCTTTAAGCGTAGTGATCTTCACCACCTTTCCTCGATTGTGCGCGTTTTTCTGCATGACTGTTCGCCTCTTTCCGCAGCGTTTCCCTAAGTTCTACTTTTGCGTGGTCCTTTCCTTCTATGAGTTGGGCCTGCTAACGACTGGCATAGTTATGCTCTATGCACAGCATGCACAGCCGGCCCTTCTATATCTCGTCCCATACTGCCTTTTCAGTCTCTTCGGAGCTGCCGCACTCAACGGCAAGATCAAAGAAGTGTATGTGCAATTGCAGATGCTGGTTGTCTTCTAGTCATTACTGTAGGAAAGGTCGTTGCTCCATGCTGCTGTGGTCCGTTAAGTGCTACTGCTCATCTGCGCTTGCTGCGGTTTGCATTACTTCTGCTGCTTCTGCTGTCGCAGCAGTGACTGCATGCGTGCCAGTGGTTCCACTGTTGCTGTTTTTCTGCTCTAGACCTGGCTAGAACTGGCTGGCGCTGTTGCTCAAGGTTCTGCAGCAGTCTATTGCTGGTACTGTGATTTTTTGGGCATGCTGCAGGCTCGCGTACAAAGAGGAGGAGGAAGCGGGTGGTAGCACGCCGTGCACGTCTGCCCCCGAACAGGCGGAAAAGAAGGAGAACTAAATGCGATCGTTTGATGTTTTTACAGACGCTGCAGTGTGTCACACGCCGCACCAAGCCCCGGTGCCTTGCTCATCATCTTGGATAGTTTTGTGGACAGTTTCGGCTGCCATTCTCTTAAACTAAAGCATGCACACCCGCAGAGGAACACTTAAGAGCGAAGTAGCAGCTGCAGCAGATTTCAAGCTTCGATAAAAGGCAGCAATCAAGAATGTCGTATCACCTGCAAGCATCCACCATTCAAGATTCTTAGAGTGGCAGTCTACTCCTCAGTGGAAAGTGGAAGAAGCAAAGCCGCCACTGAACGGAACTTTTATATATTGCAGGTTCTGGCGAGGTACAGTAGAAATGACAGGCGGAAAGTGAGCTACGCAATCCTTCACGCCATGCGTCGACGCGGATGCATGGCGCACACAGGTTGGCGATCCACAACTCAAACCCTCACACCAGTATTTCATGCATTTACCGCTGTTAAAAGGCCCAGAGCATTAATTCGAAGACTACCTGGCAGCGCGTTTCTTTAGTCCCAAAGGTGGGAAAGTTACTCGTCTCTCTTTTGATAGACTGAGTTTGCACTTCCAACTCCGGCGAGCATTCATGTGCAACCCTAGGAGTTTCAGCACGTGCTTGCCGCTTGAACGAATAGTGGATGTCTTCCCAGGGAGCATGGAGGAGATAGAATAGCTTATGCTCGAAGCTACTGCTGAACATATCTAGCCCCTTTCAGGATCACAGACAAAGGCAAAAGCTGCTGGAGAGGTGACACCGACGGGTAGTAAGCAAAAGCATTGACCGGGGCGCAAGACTGTAAACGGTTCCGCCCCGAAAGAGTGTGCTGATGATGATAACTGCCAATAGAAGTTCAAAACAACTGAGATCACTAACGTTGCTACTAGCTTTAAGCTTCAGCACTTGCTAGTTTCTGGTTCTTCAACGTCGACATAGGAGACAAGAAAGAGGCCGTCGTAAGTGAGTGAACCTGTCGAAGGAACAGGCGGCTAGCTCTAGGCAACAGGCATTTATCATCTTCCTAGCTACATCTCACCAGACGCTTAAGCCTGGTTGCGGTCCATTTGTGCAAACGTCCACACCGCTCCTCGAAGGTGGGCAGGCGGCGCCTGTGTACAGTCGCGTAGAGGTATCCCTGTCGGCACGATGACTTTCAAACGCATCCCCGAGGGTGACACACAGGAGGAGCAAGCGAGCGTCGTGCAGTCCTACCTTGCGCCGCTGTGCAGCCAACTGAGCTATGCAGTGTCTTACTCGCTGCTGTTTAAGACTAGCCTCGCCAAATTGTAGAGTCGTAGTGAAGCAGTGACGCCCTTTGCAACTCAGCTGCATACCCATCGGGAAAAGCATAGCAAAAGGCTATGCTTTTCCCGATGGGTATGCAGCTGGGTTACAATGGGGAAAAACTGGTGGCTCTATCTGTGAAAGTGCTAGCTAATGCTGCCGAATTACATACCAGATTGGTAGCTTACAAACCCGTTGGACGCCCTGTGTAGGAGGACGACACATGCCCAAGGCGCTAACTCTGTCAGCATTACAGAACAGAGTCACCGAATTGCATACCGAACCTATCACAGGGCAAGTAGGATTAGGTGTGTTCAGCATTTAGGGTGCTGATTCTATACACAGTCTGTGGATGAGGCTGCACGGTATGCGTTTTGGTGTTAGTGTTAAGTGTCCTGGGTTAACGGGGTCGCAATTCCAGTTCAGTGTATGCGGTTTAGATTAAAGCCTATAGGTTCCGGCGTTTACGGTTTTAGCGCTTAGAATGTATAGCTAACGGTTTCAGGGAGTATCATCGTCTTCAGCATCAGCAGCAAGGGCATCGGCACAAGCATCGGGCAAAGGGCATGTAATTCAAAGCAAGCTCCACCACGACCGCGCCGGGCCGTGTCATGCTGCTGCTCCTTGCAATACTTTTGCGTAGTCCTGTCCCTGCTTTTTTTGCAGATTGTGTTGCAGCTCCTCCTTTTCTTCCTGTAACTAATGCTGCATCTGCTGCAACTATGGCTGCAGACTCTGCTGGTTATCTTGTTGCTGCCTTTCGTGCTGCTTGCGCAACGGATTCTGCGTGTGCTCCTTCTACTGGTGGCTTTTGTTTGGCACTATGGTTTCGTGCTATTGATCGCTGCTTGATTCTGCTGTGCTCCTCCTACTGGTGGATTTTGGTTGGCACTTCGATTTCGTGCTATTGATCGCTGCTTTTCTATTGTTTCTGCGGCAGTGGGGTTCGGCAACACAGCGTATGCGTTGATGTTGTTGCGCGCGAGGGGGTTCAGTTGTGCCTGTTGCTGCACCTACACCTTTGCTGCTGCAAGTACGTTGTGGACCCAACGGCTCTAGCTATGCGCGAGCGTCAAAGCCTAGGGACGGTCGCGCAAAGCTAGGATGCAGCAGCTGGCCAGCCGTAATGAGGCGTTGGGCTTTCACCAGCAGTAGCACCCTCCCCTTAGCAGCAAGGGTAGTAGCATGCCAAGGCGCAGCTATAGCAGCTGGGATTGTGCAACGTATATGTGCACTATCCCAGCTGCTTCAGCTATAATCATTAGCTCCCAAGTTGCCTTCTTTGTTGATGATAAAATCGCCCATGTTGCATCAGCGGCAGGTTAGTGCGATGCAGCTGTGCTATTGGTAGTCTGCATACCGATGAGGGCCTAACGCAGTAGGTGGCCCAAATGTTTAATTAATTCCAACAGGTTGCTTCTCCTCATAGGGTGCATGCCGCTAATATAGAGACCCTGAATGTGTTGCGAAGTGCGAGAGTGGTGTGAAGCATGCCTGCGCACTACGCAGCAATAAGGACAATATGAGCACCATCAGTCGACGGCGAAGCCACTACCTGCTGCTGATGCATGGGATTACCTAAACGCTAATGATAAGAGCAGGCTCAGCGGTAGCTTCTATTTCATGGTCTGGTGCCGCTTAAGTGCGAGAACCGGATGCTGGCAGAAGAAAGCTGGGTCCCAAGGGTTCCAGGGCGTCATATTCCTAGCTTGCCTCACACCTTATTGTAGTGGCTACGGTTGCTCTTCGTGTGTCTGTGGCCTCTGTGCCGGTTTCGCATAGGTTCGGTTTTATCAGATTGAGTCCGAATGAAGTGCAGTCTTGAAAGGGCTTGGAAAACAGTAACTTTTGGCTTGGTTTTTGCTGGCAAATGGTGGCACAGCAGCCACGTCGTGAACGAGGGCCCGGCCACGGCTTGCGCCGTGGTTTCGTGAAAATTGTCTGCGCTCATATCATATTGTGAAGTTTTGTGAGGACTTTACGATCTTCTTTGCTAAGGATTTCAAGTCCTCACAAAATCCATAGCCAAGCAGATCGTAAGTTCTATCTCGACTGCCAATGCCTTGTAGCAACAGTTATGCCCCAGGCTGCGTAAGGCACCTTCACTAGGTTGATGTAGCATGTAGCAACGCGGATTTCAGAGTTACTCTTCAAACCACGCATGGGCCCCCATATTTTCCCCATTTTCTGTACTAATACGATTTCCTTGAATTTATATTCCTCAATGCATGAAAGGAACCGACATGCGCGCTTTCTTTCGCCGATCGTGGCCAGGCAACGTAGGAGACAAGATGAATGAATGTCTACTGAAAAGACCCACTCCAAACAACTCTCATCATCTGCACCCCACTTTGAATCCACTTTGAATCCACCTTATTTATGTTTGTCGTTCACAACTAGGATGTATTTAGTTACTTCCCTCTGCATTCCACCTTAACTCCCTGGCGCGGCAGTGCGTTGCACGACAATCGGTGCAGCAGTGGGCTTCGGCAGGCAAACGAAGATGCCTGGGAATGCTCCACATAGGCTGCTTGAAAATTCAGGAAACACGAAGTGTTGTAGTCTTATTGCAAACGACTAAGTACGCCGCAAAAATGTGTGGAATACCTTTGAAAAAACCACACTTTCGCGCCTACGTATATGCACCACCAGTGCGGCGTTTCGCCTCGAGGCTTCGACGTCGGCGCATGCACGTGCTCGACCGCTGCGCACCAACCTACAACATTGCTTGGGAGAGCAGCCAATGAAGAACACTGAGCCGTTGCGTTCACAGCATTTCTTCTTTTAAGCAAACTTTTGGTGTTTCCCCTTTCGATACTTAAGTGTGCTTACCTTTACGTAACTTACTAGTACACCTTTGTAATTTTCATTGAAAATGTCTCTCTCTCAATTCATTGTTCTTGCATCTGCACTCCCCCTTGCAATGGCAGTGGGCCCTAATGGACCAGAAGACGCCTTCCTCTCTCCGAGAAATGGCTTGGCCGGTGAACATGCACCAGGCCTTTCTAGCTTAATGCGCAGGATGCGGCGCCAAAATCGGGGCCTCGTTGCAATCTCCGCGTTGGCGGTAGCTTTGGCTTTCAGTTTTCTCATCTTCCGCTGTTATGTCCTCCTCGGATCCCGTTTCGACAAGGGCGAAAACGGAAGCTCACGAAGACTTGCTCAAGGGCGCGAGGATAGATGTGCTGTAAGTATTTCAACAGTAAATTAATGCAGTGCCCACTGTGTCTCGGTTGTTTCTCTGCTAGAGATGGCTGAATTGGGTTGAACTGCAAACTATGCAAAGATCCACCCTGTACTCATACTTTTCACCTTTCTCGATCAGCGTTGACTGAAAAAGCTCGTTTATTGGGAATCATGTGCTACTGCTGGAGATGCCTCGTTATTTGAATGCAAGGTGCGGTGAGCGGTGGCTTCGCTCTTGAGCATTCTTGGCGGAATGATGAATACCTGCGTATCCTGGAGCAGCCTGTGGGTTTGGATTTTGTCAAAAGCATGCCTCTTCCACACGAGAGAACACACTTTTCGGGGTGGCGAGCGTGTGGAGTTTTAGGTATGGTGTTTCTTGAGTGTAGACCGTTGCCGCCTGCCAAGTGCAACTCTTCTGAAGAGTTTAGCAGCGAGCGTTCGGAGAGCTTGTACATATCCATGGTGCTACGAATCGCCGACGGATCTGTAGGCAACGACTACTGCTGGGATGTATGTGTGTG